CCGAAGACCTGGTCCCTCTCGGTAGGGTAACAAGGGAACGTGTTCAGTGCAGATCAGTGAGTAAGCACAAGCCCGCCTTGTTTCAGTGCCTATGCTTAAGCTTTAGGTGGTCCTAATTGTCTAGTTTGGCTTCTGCTATTTGTGTACTTTTAGTTATGTTTGACAGTGTATGTATGCCATATATTGGGACCTCTAAATTGTGCTCTAGCTTTTTATTTTTATTTTATTTTTTTTTTATTGTGATTTGAGTGCAGATTTACAGAGCAAATTCATTTTCCATACAGCAGTTCACATGTACTTTGTCTCATGACATTGACCACAGTTTACCACAATGCAACAGCTCCTCTCCCATCTCTTCCCCACAATTACCTCTTCCCAGTGTCCATCCCTCCATGGACTCATGCCCCCTGAGCCGTCTCCCTGTGCATAAGCAGCCCTTCTTCCTCCCATGATTGTTCTCTCCAAGGAGTGTATCTATGTGAGGTAAATGTTCAACTCATATGCCTGTCTTTTGTTTGGCTGGAAACCACAGGTGTGGGCTTATAAATTGTGCTTTAGCTTTTAAGATTGACCTGTGTGCTCACCCTCAATATTTGGCAGGTCCCGCCCGAGACTTGCTCCTGAGTCTGGTAGTCCCTGCTCCTTCTCCTCAATGGTGTCGTGCAAACCCTGAAGATGTTTCAAAAGCCTTCCAAAGGAGAGATCTTGAACTGCAGGAGGCTGGGCAGCTCATCCCTAACGACACGGTATGCCTCTCTCACGTTCCTTTCATGCCGCCTGTACTAGAAAAGGACAGAGTAGCAGGTCTAGAGCAGCTCTGTGCCCTAAAGATGATGATCATCATGAGCACCTAGATGTTCTTGAACCTGAATATGGAGGAGGCAAAAAAAAAAAAACAACAAACAGGGCAAATCAGGAGCACAAAACTTGGTAACACAGGGACGGTTCGGAAGTTCTGTAGGGATCACTCCTTAGCCCAACCCCTAATCCAAAAATTCTAAAGAAAGATTTGAAATAGGAAAAACAAACAAACAAACAAACAAACAAAAACTTGGAGTAAAAAATTTTTAAGATCACATTCTTGACGGTTGTAGTTTGATTCCAATGAGAGAAGATGGATTTCTTTGGGCTTGTCCTTCCTCTCTCCTAAAGGAGCTGAGAGTCCTAAATCAGAGCCATTGCTGGAGCATCACAGTCTGGCCCTAGCACTGGGAGAGAAAGAAGGGTCTCACATCCCAGGCCTTTCCTTAACATGAAGGGATTTTTAAACACCAAGTTCAACTCTAGAAACATTAGAGAAGTAATCAGAATACCGGCTACTTGTCTAAATGACCACTTGTTCTACAGGAGTAGTGAGTAACTCATAGGGAAGATAGAACTATATGTTGATAAATTTGTTTGCTGCACTTATGCTGTGTTTACCAATGAGCTCAAATTCTAATAAGTCATAGAGATGCTGATGTCCGTTCAGTCTGTAACAAAACAGAAGGAAGTTTCTCTCACTCTTCTAAAAGCACTCCTCAGGATTCCAGATTCTTTATGTGTTTGCATTTTGTTTTCTGATCTAAAGGAAAGTTTGAAGCAAAAACTCGTCAGAGTGCTAGAGGAAAACCTCGTTTTATCTGAAAAAATTCAGCAGCTGGAGGAAGGTACTGCCCCATCAGTTGTGAGTGGGCACCAGTCTAATGCTTATGGTAAGTTCAGGAAAGCCATGTGTGGTGTGTGCAAAGATTAGTGTTGTCTATAGATGACCTGTTTAATAAGCTTCATCATCAAGAGCTCATAATCAAGAAAAGACATATGGCTTATCCAGCAGTTACACATAAACAGAGTAGTCGCCTCAGAGTAGTTGTACAGGAGGCTAGTTACCAGATGAAGCTCTTTGTGAAAAACGTGTACAAATGTTTTTAGTATTGACATTATTTTTGAAACTGACACTTATTTTATCTGATTATAGCAATAGAACATGTTCTTTATAGAAAGTTTGAAACATTTGTTTGAAAACTTCAGTTGCTGTCAAGTTGACTCCAACTTACGGTGACCCCATGTGTGGAGAGTAGAACTCTGCTCCATAGCATATTCAAGCCACCTGGGCAAGCAACTGAAAGAGATCCAGATTCATGCCCATGCCAAGGACAGTTGATCCCACAGCATCTGGAAATTATTGAACAATATCATGAACATCACACACAAGTCAAATTTTGCTGAAGATAACTCAACTTTTGCAGCAGTACATCAACATGGAACTGCCAGAAATTCAAGCCAGATTCAGAAGAGGATGTGGAACAAGGCATATCATTGCAATGTCAGGTGGATCTTGGCTGAAAGCAGAGAACACTATAAAGATGTTTATCTGTGCTTTATTGACTATGCAAAGGAATTTAACTATGTGGATCATTAGAAATTATGGATAACATTGCAAAGAATGGGAATTCCAGAATGCTTCATTGTGCTCATGAAGACCCTGCACATAGATCAAGAGGTCAGAGTTGTATCCTTTCATCATACTTATTTAGTCTGTATGCTGAGCAAATAATCTGAGAAGCTGGACTGTATGAAGAAGAATGCAGCATCAGGATTGGAAGAAGACTCATGAGTTAATATGCAGATAACAACATGCAATATACAGATGACAGGACCTTGCTTGCTGAAGGTGAAGATGACTTGAAGCACCTAAAAACTGATGAAGATCAAAGAATACAACCTTTAGTATAGATTATACCTCAACATAAAGAAAACTAAAATCCTTACAACCGAACCAATAAGCAACATCATGATAAATAGAAGAAAGATTGAAGTTGTCAGGGATTTAATTTCACTTGGATCCACAGTTAACACCCTTGGAAACAGCTGTCCTAAAATTAAATGATGTATTGCACTGGGCAAATCTGCTGCAAACGACCACTTTAAAGTGTTAAAGAGCAAAGATGTAATTTTGAAGGCCAAGGTACACTTGACTTGAGCCGTGGTATTTTCAACAGCTTCATATACATGTGAGAGCTGGACAATGAATAAGGAAGACTGCAGAAAAATTGATGCATTTGGTGTGTGGTGTTGGTGAAGAATATTGAATATACCATGGATTGCTAAAAGAATGAACAAGTCTGAGAAGTACAGTGAGAATGCTCCTTAGAAGTGAGAATGGACAGACTTTGTCTCTCATATTTTGGTCATGTTGTCAGATGGGGCCATTCCCTGGGGAAGGATATCCTAAAGTAGAGGTCAGCAAAAAAGGGGAAGACTCTCTGAGATGGCTTGACAAAGTGGCCGAAACGTTGGGCTTAAGCATGGTAATGGTTGTAAGGATGGCGCAGGACTGGGAAGTGTTCCGTTTTGTGTACGTAGTCCCTAAGCGTTGAAACCGACTTGATGGTACCTAACAACAACAAGAGACTCTTCGGAAACAGAAGAAATATAATTTTACTACCCAGTATAACTACAGTTAGTGTTTTGGTATATTTCTTTCCACCTTACCTCCATGCATATATTTATAACTCAAAATTTGAACTTGTGCCTTGATTTTTTAAAATAATGTATACTTTTTAAGTTTGAGCTTTGATATGTATGCATTTCTGTAACCTTATCCCAATGAAAATATAGAACATTTCTGTTACTCCAGAGAGCTCCCTTATACCCCTTTGCAGTTAGTATTCTCAGCCTCCACTCCAGGCCTTCACTGATCTGGTTACATCCTACTGTTATTTATTTAACAGAAAAGGCATTTCCTGTGATAGCACATGAATATACCATATTTATCTATCTAGTCCTCTCTATAGTTGTTTCTGATGTTTGCCATTATAAAGCTGCCATGATTTATAACATTATAATTATAATATTCTAAAATATAAGATTCTAAGTAATTTCTAAACATTTGAAAGAAAGACCTGAAATGAAAGAAAAGATGTAGAATGAAATGCTTCTCTAGGGTTGTCTTTGCACCCTTCTGAGGAAGCCGAGTCGGGATATTTATAATATCATAAATAATGCCGCTATTTATATCTGTGTACATCAATCTCTGTGTACATTTCAGAGTATTTTCCTAGGAGACAGTCCGGAAATAGTTGTTGGGTCAAAGGACATAGATACTTTTAAGGCTTTTGTCACACATCACCAAATAATCCTCGAGAAAGGTTGTCTCAATTTACACTCACACCAATAGTGTATTAAAATGTCCTTTTCACTGCACACCTAACACTGCATGTTTTCAAATAACATTTGTCATTTTGAGAAGTGATAAATTATATCCCACTTAAGTCTTGATTTGCTTCATTATTAGCTTAGTGTAGGCAAGGGTTTCATATAAAGTCAGCCCTCTACCTTAAACCTCTAGCTCAGCACCCCTAAGCAACCACTGGGGCATTTGGATTTATATGAGGAACTTGATTTGGAAGTTAGCACTGTATTTCCAGAGTTAATCTCAGCACTATCTGATACAAGCTTGAAAAATCCAGGCATAAGATCTACATTTACTTACTCTGAAAGTAAGTTGGCGTTCATCTACTAGATACCTACCTTCAGTCAGCTGTGGGACCCAGCACAGGATCTGGGCTCACTGGTGAATAAATGCAGCTGTTGCAGCCCTGTTTTCCACTTCCAGAACCTTGTTACTCAAAGGTGTGAATCACAGATGAGCAGCATTGCTATCACTGGGAGCTTGTTACACATTAGAATGTTGAGCCTCGCCTCAGAACTACTGAATCAGAATCTATTTTTAATAAGATCCCCAGGGGATTTGTAAGCTTATTAAAATTTACAAAGTTCTATTTTAGAAAACTGACTTCCTTGGAACTCAGGATCCTGTGATTTTACCTACTCTGTGATTGCAGGCAGTGGTAATATATTTGGGAAGCTAGCTATGAGTATTTTAGCTACAATTGCTGTTTCTACAAGCACTTATAGTTATTACTGTGTGCCTGACAACAGTTCTAGGTGTTTTTGCATTCTGCACAAGGAAGGTCGTGTATTCACAAACTGAAGTGGAGAATGACGAAAAACCTAGTATGTGTTGACTGCTAAGTTGGGACAGGTGTCTCATTGAATCCTGTAACAGTGCTATGGAGCAAGGATTATAGCTCTAGTGAAACTCAGGAAAAATGAATTAAAGTGTATACTATTAAGTATGGATTTTAATACATATCTATCTGCTATCAAGCCCCATACTTTTGCCCTGTATCTGCTGTCTCCAAAGGACGTAATGGTGAATGGAGTTGGGGTGGGTACAGTGAAGCCCCAGTTCTTCTCCCATGATGTCTACCTGAACGTGTAAGCTCTGCTCAAAGACTAGCAGCTTGGAATCTTACTTATCCCTGGCTACCGTACCCTTTGTAGATGATCTTCTGCACAAAAACCAACAGCTGAACACACAGGTGGCTTGCCTGAGCCAGGAGCTTGCCCAGCTGAGAAAGCTGGAGGAGACAGTGGCCCTTCTTCATGAAAGTCAGAGGTAGGAGAGAGTCTATCTAGATTGCTTCTGGAGGTAGATGTTTACTTTCCTTTATCTCTTTTGTTTTACTTGGTGAGTTAATATCTATGCACTCCATTCTGTGTGTAGACCTCCTGTATCTAGGGCCGTTAGCTCAGCGACCAGAGAACTGCTTTCTGAGACACACCAGGGACACTCTGCCTTTGCTGGCATTGGTGGGTTCAGTAATTAATAGTTTGACACTGGGTCTAACAGGATCCTTGTTTGAGTCAGCTAGCCTTCCTCGGTCACTTATATACCTGGCTCCTCTGAAAAAATGTCTGACTGCTATTGGTCACAGAAGAGGTTTCAAGAGTGAGTGCTCAGCTGAGTGATGGGGAAAGAACCCCTGTTCTTTTCAGAGAAGCATCATCCTCTTCAAAGAATAGCATCCTCGGGAAAGCAGCTAGAAAAAACTTGAGAGGAGACCTCAAGACTATTGGTCCATTTAGGGAAGGCCTTGAAATTTTGATTTGACAAACACCTTTACTAGGTGAAGTTCAAATATGAGAACCTCATCCCTAAACCTTCAACTCCAAACTTCACATCCAGATTTTCACTGAAATAGCTTCATTTTCAGAAGCTTAGGCTGAGATTCATTCTGTATGGCTTTTAAAAAACTTTTCACTGTATTTCAAACATACGTAGAAGTAGAGAGAATAGCAAAAAGTCATGGTTCTCAAACTTGGGTGTGCATCGGGATCACCTGAAGGACTTGTTGGAATGCAGACTTGCTGGGCCCTACCCTACAGTTTCTGATTCAGCAGGTCTGGGTTGAGAAGTAAGAATTTGCATTCCTGCTAAGTTTCCAGGTAATGCTGTTATGTTGCTGCTGTCTGTGGACCATACTTTGGGAACATTAGAGTATGGGCATGCATTGCTTAAGGGCCACAATATGTTCTATCAAATAGGGCATTATGTGATTTAGACATTGTGTGAGTGCTATATTACATGCAGAGAGTCCCTGGATTAAGCACGAGGTCCATTCCCAAGTCTGTCTTTAAGTCTAATTTGTACGTAAGTCGTAACAGTTACGTATGGTTCCTATCTAACATCAGTCAGTCAAATGTTTGTTGTCATATGTAGTATACTTGGCTATGTATATAAAACGTGAAAGAAACACTTCCAGATATAGCAATACATCTTTAACATAATAGAGCAGTAAGTAATGTTTTGATGTGCATTGCAAAGATTCATTTGTTTGTTATTATGAACCATTGTATGTTCCTTGAATTTTTAATATAATAGATTTTACAGAGGTTGGGACCATGTATGTGGTCAGATGTTGCCTGAATAGACGTGAAACAGCACATGCATGTAAAACTCTTCAGGAGGATGTACAGTCAAATTAGTGTATTTAATATTACTTGAATTAATTTCTCTGTGTTGTTAAACCATCAGTTTAACACATAGATTAATTTACTTCAATTTACTTTTGATTCTTAGGGAGTGTTTTAAAAAATCATTTTGATTTAATCTTGTTTTATAATTAAGTAAAATATTTACATGGTCCCAAAAGTCAAATCTACAAAATAAGATAAATTCAGAAAAGTATCTTTCTTATTTTGTCTCCTCTATCCTATCCTTCCCTCCCACTAGCCTTCCAGGGTGTGTGTGTGTGTATCAACATCCCCTCTTTCTTAGGTAAAAATAGGGATATGATACATAATATCGCTTTCATCTTATATCTTGGAAATCAGTTCATGGTGGTATATAGAATTAGTTTTTACCCTTTTTTACAGCTGCATAGCACTCCATTGTGGGTATGGTACCAGTTAATCTAATCAGGCTCTATTGATGGACATATGAGTTAATAGTATTTTGCTATTACAGACAGTATTAAATGAATAACATTGTGCCATATGTTTGTGTGTGTGTGTTTATGTGTATGTGTATATGTATATACGTATATATATATGTATATATATACACACACATTCTGGTGGCATAGTGCCTAAGGCATTTGACTGCTAGCCAGTAGGCTGGCAGATCACACCCACCAGCAGCCACTCCTCGGAAGGAAGCTTTGGGAATCTACTTCCATAGTGATACTGCCTTGGAAACCCAAGGAGGAGGGGTCGCTGTGAGTCAGATCTGCCTTGACGGCAGTGAGTTTATATATATTTGCCAGTCTCTGGATGTTTTTTACCATTAGATGGTAATACAGAATCCACTATTAGTTAATTTCAAAGGCAGGATATATTAGAAGAAATAGAAGTTAAGGTTTTGGGGTGGAAATTGGAGGCCTGGTCAGGTGCCAATGTCCTGGTGCTTCCTTTACCTTACCGTGAAAGTGCTTTGGGAAGACTCGAATGACCGCTGTGTAAAATGTGAAATATGTTAGTGCTGGAGTCAGCTGGGAGCATAATCAAAAAGAACTGTAATGAAAAAGAAACTGCAGGCCTGCTTTTAAAATAACCCACACATAAATTGGACAGTTCTTTCTATTTTAAGGTGTTACTTGATTTTAATTTTATCTTGAGCGAATATTCTGGATCTGAATGGCTTCTACTTTTCTTTTGCAATTTCATAACTTCTCTTTCCCCTGCATCTCAGATCCCTGGTGGTAACTAATGAGTATCTGCTGCAGCAGCTGAGTAAAGAGCAAAAAGATTATTCCGGGAAAGCACTCCTGCCTCCTGAGAAGAGCCATCATTTGGGGAGATCGTCGCCCTTTGGGAAAAGCACGCTGTCTTCCTCCTCCCCAGTGGCACATGACACCAGTCAGTATCTAATACAGAGTGTTTCAGATGCTATCCCAGAGCCTAGTGTGTGGAGCTAACACTTTCACACAGCTTCCCTCTGTCATGGAGGACTCTTAGTGCCATTGCCCAGATGTGGTGGCTCTTACCCACAAAGATGAAGAAAAACACTTATTCTGGTTACATTGTATTGGTTCTCTTTTTCATTTCTCTTTATCTCCTCCCATCAGGCCAGTTTTTCCTCTTGCCCACAGAAATAGTTGGCACTTGATCCTAGACATTATATCACATAGAAGCATTTGGCTGAAAATGTTGAAAAGGACAAAAAGAAACAAACACTGAACCTTTTTCTTCAGAGTCAGTGAAACGGTATAGTAGAAGATTAAAACAGAGCATCCGCGGTCACTTCTGTTAAAAGATTAATGTTAGAGAATTTATATCTACTCATTCATCAAACATGTTTTGTGTTTCCTTCAAAGGGTAACAAAGTCTGGTGACTGCTTTGGAGCAGCCAACAATTTAGTCGGGAGGAAAAGCAAAAGGCTCCACAAATGATGGAGCTCACAGCTTGTAACAGGGCTAAACAAAAGCCTAAAACTGCTGCAGAGAGAGAAATCCCCACCATGGAGAAGTGGAGAAGTATTCAGTGAGGACTTGTTTGAATAGCAGCTGGCGGGATGAGGAGAGTGTTAGCAGGTGGAGTGGATGCAGAGCCTCCCGGGCCAAGAGTGCAGAGCAGAAGAGCCCAGAGAGGTCATGGTGCATCCAGGGGACGGGACAAAGGCTGACCTAAGTTGTAGCACAGTAGCCAGGAGCAGTGTGGAGGATGGACTGGCAGGGGAACACAATGACAGTGCCTAGGGGAGAGAGGAAGTGAACAGAGAGGATGGGCTCGAGAACTCTTGCAGGATAGAGCACCAGAAGTTGGTGACTAGTAGTTATTGTGCATTGGACCTGGGCAGGTGGTGACAGTGCCGTTAACTGATGCTGGGTAGTCAGCAAGTGGGGCCCTTCTGAGGGGAGTCAGCAGCTGTTCACTGAGGTGGGGGAGAGGATGGGGCAATCCAACTGGCAAGCAATGTAGTGACTAAAGAGCATTTCATTCATTCATTCTTTGAGGCACTGATCTAGGCTCTAGGGGTATTGACTATAACTGGGAAGACAGAACAAAATGTATATAATTAATTATGATAAATACTAAAAAAAAGAGTGAGTGGTATAAGAGTATTCTAAGAGTTTATAACAAGAGCCTGTCCTAGCCTGGGAGGAGTGGTGTCAGAAATATGTTCTCTAAGGAAGTGATCAATCTTTCAATGGAGCTGAGAATGCACAAGAGGCACACCTCAACATCAAGGAAATCAAAATCCTCACAACTGGACCAGCAAGCAACATCGTGATCAATGGAGAAGAGATTGAAGTTGTCAAGAATGTCATTCTTCTTGGATCTTCAATCAACACCCGTGGAAGCAGAAGTCAGGAAATCAAACAACGTAGTGCATTGGGCAAATCTGCTGCAAAGGATCTCTTTAAAATATAAAAAAGCCACAATGTCACATTGAGGACTGAGGTGCGTCTGACCCGTCAAGGTATTTTCAATCACCTCATATGCCTGTGGAAGCTGGACAATGAATAAGGAAGGCTGGAGAAGAATTGATGCCTTTGGATTATGGTATTGGCAAAGAATATACCATGGACTGCCAGAAGAACAACAGAACTGTCTTGGAAGAAGTGCAGCCAGAATACTCCTTCGATATGAGGACGGTGAGACTTCATCTCACGTACTTTGTCCCTGGAGAAGGACATCATGCTTGGAAAAGCAGAGGGTCAGTGAAAGACGGCCTTCACCGAGATGGATTGATAGTGGCCATAAGGGTGGGCTCAAGCGTAGCAAGGATCGTGAGGATGGCGTAAGATGGGACAGTGTTTTGTGCACTTGGACGTGGGATCGCCGTGAGTCAGAACCACTCCCCAGCACCTAACAACAATAGGCAAAGCGTGGCACCCAAGGGCAGGAACAATCAGGAAGAAACTGCCAGGAGAAATAGCACATGCAAAGGCCACGAGGTGAGAAGGATCACGGTTCAGTCAGGGAACTGGGGGGCCAAGAGGAGGTGAGCAGGTCGTGTGTATCTTGAAGATGTTAGAGTGGGAAGACAGAGGGGAGACAGATTGATGTTTGTGGAATTTCCTTTGTCAGAAGAGGCGATCGGTGGGGGGAGTGGGAGAGGACACACCAGTGAGCCCAGTGAGGAGGCTGGGGGCGGTCCAGCTTCACATGTGGCTGCTGGAGCTTTGGCCTCAGTGTGCATTTGCGTATGCTGCCAGGTGCTGTCAATGTCACTTTTGAGTCGTAGCTACCCCGTGTGACAGAGCATAACTGCCCCGTAGCGTTTTCAAGGGTAATCTTTGCAGGAGCAGATTGCCAGGTCTATCTCCCATGAAGCCGCTGGGCAGGTTCAAACTGCCAACCTTTCAGTTAGCGGCTAAACTATGTAAAAGTACCCTGTATTTCAGACCTAAGGCACAATTTCAATTTCTTTTCTTTGTGATTGGCCGTTTTAAAAATCAATGGGAAAAAATAATTTTTTCTAGGTGTGTTTCCCAGGTAGTAACTGTTGCTAGAAAGTGTAGGGGACAAGGGACTGTCAGCCTAATGTCACTGTGTGCTGCTGCTCATCTTTAGAAGCACATCAGAGAAAGAGGCAGGTGGAAGGATTAGGACCTCGTTTGCTCCCCTGACTCAGGTGCTGTGCAGGGAAGGAGAGCTGTGGCCGGGCAGTGAGATCTGACCAGCACAGCCAAGGTCACCTCCTTCTAAATTAAAAACCCCACAGACCGCTGGATTTTATGTGGAGAGGAAGGTCCCCTGGGCTCACAAAAGGAGAATATTCAGGGGTGCCATATGTTTCTTAGGAGCTCTGGTGGTGTGGTGCCTAAGGCATCTGATTGCTAACCAGAAGGCAGGCGGTTCAAACCCACCAGCCACTTCTCGGAAGGAAAGTTGGGCAATGTACTTCTGTAGTGATACCTACCGCCTTGGAAACTCAAGGTGGGGTTGCTATGAGTCAGATCTGACTGGATGGCAGCGGTGAGTTTGGTTTGGTTATATGTCTCTTGGAGCTGCGTGGCTCTGAGGGAGCTAGAGTGCACTCATGCTCTGTGGAAATGTTAAGAGCCACCCGTCCCCCCTTCTTCCCATCCCACCCTCACTCCCCTAGGCTGTCTTTGCATCACTGAGAGGTCTCCAAAAAAGCCTGCACCTTGCCCAGGCACAGGAACCTCGGCCCATGGTGTTGCAGCCCTGAGTTGTCATGTCTTAGGGTCCCAGCCCCAGTGTACAAGGAGCTGTGGTAGCACAGTAATTAAGCTCTTGGCTTAACTGAAAGGTTGGCAATTCAAAACAAATCAGCTCCGCAAGAGACAGACATAGCAGTCTGCTTCCGATGACAGCCTTTGGAATCCCATGGATCCGTTCTCCTTGGACTCTCTGAGTTGGAATCAACTTGATGGCAAGGGGTTTGGCTTGGTTTAGCCCAGTGCACAGGCCGACCTACTGGAGACGTTGTCAGGGAAAATAATCTACTTCTCTCTCCACATTCAGCTTGTCTTTCATGTCCCTGTAGATATCTGTTCAGGATGCCTCTAAGGAGGAAGAAAAGAGCCTGACCCAGGCTGAGCTGTCCTCACCCCTTTTTCTGTTGACAGGGTTGCTGGCCACTCATGAGGGAGTTAACTGTGTTCGTGATGTCTCTGTGTGACAGGCTCTTGGTCCAGAGGACAGGGTAGAATCTGGGGTGTCAGGAAGAGCCAAAAAGTGGGGCTCAGTGGCCCAACATGGGGAGGGGAGACCCTTGAAGCAAGGAGAAAACCAGTGGAGAGGAAGTATTCATCCCTAGGACCAATGCCACTGGGAGAAAAAAAAAAAATCTGGGATGGAGACTGGGCCTCCAGAGAAGGTCTGTGCCCAAAGGGGCAGGGCAGGGCCCTCCAACAGCTGTGGACTTCCCCCTGCTGGACACACACTTTTGAATAGCTCAGTACTACATGCAGTCACATCTCTTCCTTGTCCGGCCTGGCTTTGCTAGAAAGGTCCAGAAAGCCTTACTCCACGATGAGGCTGTGGCGGGTGGACCAGTGACTACAGGGCCACGACGGCATTGTTTGATCAGCTGCTGCCATTAGCCAGATTCTGCTAGACCCATTCATTCGCTCTGCAAGGGTCTTTCTGGCTCTGGGTGGGCCTTTTCTCAGGTGCCAAAACCACTTTTCAAGATCAGAAAGAACCCAGACCCATTGCCATTGAGTTGATTCTGACTCATAGCCATCATACAGGACAGAGTAGAACTATCCCATTGAGTTTCCAAGGCTTTCGATCTTTACAGCAGCAGACTACGACATCTTTCTCCTGGGGACCAACCTGTAGTCAGTAGCCAAGCACTTAACCACTGTGCCACCAGAGCTCCTTTTCAAGAAGGAGGGCTTTGTTCCCACAAGGTAGAGATTTGGAGCTTAGCCGTTTTCGCTCTGGGGTTCTCCAAGCCGCATTACTAGTTGTGGGAATGGACCAGTCGCTCCTCCTACTCTTATGCACTGAACAGTCCGCTCCTGTGTCATGTTAATTGCGGGGAGCCTGGCCCAGCTCGGAATGCAGGTCAGTTCTTTTTCACTATGAGGATATTTCAGAAAGTGAAAGAGGATTTGGTTCACCCCTTTTTGCTTCTTTAGTAAAACTTGCAACTCACACAAATTCCCCAAAGCTGGAGGAGTCAGTCCTCTTAGTATTTGCTGGTGGGAGAGTGTTATTGGTGCCATTGAGTCTGCTCCGACTCCCAGCTACCCTATGTACAACAGAAGGAAACACTGCCTGGTCCTGATAGATCAGACAGTGTTTCCCTGCTATTCATAAGATTTTCATGGGCCAATTTTTTCAGAAGTGGCTAGCCCTGTGCTGTTTCCCAGTCAGAGTCTGGAAGCTCTGCTGAAACTTGTCTACTATGGGTAACCCTGCTGGTATTTAAAATACCGGTGGTATAGCCGCCAGTGTGACAAAGTGCTAGACGAGTGATGGGAAAGTTGTTGTTGTTGTGTGCCGTCGAGTCAAACCCGACTCATAGCGACCCCTCCTTGGGTTTCCGAGGCAGTATCACTACGGAAGTAGGATTGCCCA